GTATGCTCTCAATGAGTTATTATTATATAAACAAAACAGTTCTAAGATAATCAGAAGCCCACCTTGATATAAGTTTTCTTAAGATATTACCAAATTAAATAGCTACAATACTTATTGGTAAAAGTTTTGATTAAAGAATTCGGTTTATAATTTGCGGAGAAATTAGTGAATGTCATAAAAACTCATATATTTCCGTCCAACATAGAACTTTTTCGATTTTTAAGTCTGTTAAAAAACTTGAAGATTTAACACTGCGTAAGTTTAATTATAATATATTTCGTTTTAGGTTGGGAACTTTTTTACAGTTGCTAATTTAAATATTTTTAGAAAAGGCTATTAGATTAAAAGAGTTGAACAAAAAACTGGTAAAGAGTGAAGAGGACTCGCGCGCATATAGCTCTATGCTAAAATACTAAATTTTATAAACCATAGACTTCTTAAAGGACTTCGGGTAATTTATAAACATAAAAACTATTTTTCTGTTACTTACTTCCAAATATTAAGGTCCAGTACACGGTACACTTAAAACATGCGTAACTGGAACAAGTAGCGTGTACATAAAAATGACATAGCTATAATACATATTTTATTTTGGAATTGTAAAAGTCAAAAAGTTAATAATTCAGGGGTCTTTGTGTACGCTTTTACAATAAAATCCCAATCAAAGTACAATAATCAAAATCAATTTCAAAATATTAATTTATTTTTATTCCTATTATTAAAATTGTGTTTCTGTAGTAAACTAGCTTTCCGCCAGCGGCTTCGTCCGCTTGGTCCTTAGGCAACTGTTTATATTGTATATCGACTCTTAGCATGATATAAATATAATTATAATTAAAAGTGAATAGTAAATAATGGTTACTATGTAACGTTTTAATTGCCTATACCTACAAACATCCACCCTCATTTTCATCCCTTTATTAAGAAATGTTTTTGGGATAAAATAAAGCATCACATGCGACGGACATAGCCACCGCATATGTAGCTTCCCGTAGGTGAGAGAATTTTATAATCGGTCCAGGAATTTCGGAGCTTATTCGATGCAAACAAACAAATCTTTCCTCTTTATAATATTAGTATAGACTAATATTTTACGAATAAGGACTCGGTAGACTCCCATTTCTAGTGTTAGGCTAAAGTTACAACACAATTTCATTGGTTTTTACCGCTAAACTGTCATAGTTTTATTTGACTTGAATTTAAGAGATAAGCCTTGTCTGTTATCGACGCCATTACGATAAATTACTAAAATCGTTATCAATAGATTCTATATTTATGATTAGTGAGTCAGTATCATTTGTGAGACGGCTGTAATTAACGTGCACGTGGTGTAATAAATATAATTATTGAATTTTTACTATAATCCTGTTGATCGATTCTCTTGAAAGGTACGTACTTGTAACTTTAATTCTGGTTTGATCTGGACAATACAATTACCGTAGTGTGCATCAAGATAGCAGGTACACCAACCACTTTGAGGGTCTTCTATATATCAAAAAACTGTGAATATATTCTTAATGAAAATCGTGGGTTCGTGAGTTCAGAGTACTGGGGCAAATGGATTTTTTAAGCATTTTTCATTAAAAATATTTTCTAGTATAGCATTGTGAACGCAAAATTGATTAAATAATATTGATAAGAACAAATTATCATCTTAATCGAAGGTTTAAAATATTTGTAAGAACATTTCTTTCGGCAAGTATTTTAAGCATTTTTTATTAAGAATACTTTCCAGTAAAGCATAAATTGATCAAATATAATAACTAAATTTATTTTGAAATATATTTCGTATAAAAGAAATTACCTATCAGACAGTACAAGCATTTTAAATTGAATAATAAAATTGGCATTTATATTTAAAAAACATGCAATTGTAAAAAGGTCTTAACAGATTGGCTGCTCACTTTCACCTATAATGAAATCGAAAATCTGGTGAAATAAACTCACCAAAAAATCACACAAGTATCTCCGCATTATTGAAAATTATATAAATATTGTTTTTCTTTATCTTATGCTGCATGATTTGCTTGATTTGTAAATTAAAGATGTTTAAATTTATACATGATACTTCTGATACAGGCATCTTAGTATGTCTACTAGGATGGATCCAACAACTACTATGTGTACCTTTTAAAAATGTTTAATGAATGTCTTTTTTTTTGCTTGAGACTTAAGAACTTTATTTGCAAATCAGTAAGTTCACAAATAATCAAATAAGTACAGTATTTTACCTGACAACAGGCGTGCAAATGTTACATTTTTTTATAATGGACCATGCAATTCTCTTTTACACTAGGTATACAGGCTTTCCATAAGCCACTTTGTCAGATTCAATTTAAATTAATTTATATTTCAAAAGAAACCCTGGCGTATGCATGCATGCAGAGTTAAGACATCGACAATTTATCAATATGAGGGCCCCACTTAAGTTTGGAATGTTAATGATATATTAATGGAGAATCTAAGCTAAAAACAAAAATAGATGACATTGTAAGTCAGCTAATACAATGCGAGTGCAAAATATATCTAGATCAGTCAGACGATGACCTAATGCTCTCTGATCCAGGCTCATCATCATATGGAAATTTGACATTTAGAGCCGTCGCTTGCATATCAATTACGTCATCAATTTTTGTATCAGAAAGATTCTTTGAAATAATATTCGTTCACGCCCCATACGAACCTAAACTATTCGTAATATGACACATTACGATAAAATTTCTTATAGATAATGTATTTTATAAAATTCCTTAAATGTTTGATTACGATGAATTGTGAAACTAGATATTTGACGTGCAAAATTATATCGAAAAATGAAGTTTTGAACATATTACGAAGCATATTCGTAAACTCTTTGCGTAATTTGATTCCATTAATTTTAAGAGATATGATATCTTTATGGATGAAGTCTAAAGTATTTTAATTGCAATTTTATTATGCAGGTCTAATTACTTATAGATAAAGAGGATGTAAACTTAAAATATATCCTGTGGGTAGAATATTATATGGCAGCTTATGAATATTAAATGATTATCCGATGTGTTGGCACCTTGAAAGTTTGCCCGCATGCATTGCACGCATTGCTCGCTCGCTACGGCGATCCTAGAGACAGAGAAAATTACAGGAAATTATGCACGCAGATCAATACTAATATTATAAAGCTGAAGAGTTTGTTTGTTTGTTTGAACGCGCCAATCTCAGGAGCTACTGGTTCGAATTGAAAAATTCTTTTTGTGTTGAATAGACCATTTATCGAGGATGGCTTTAGGCTATATAACATCACGCTGCAACTATTAGGAGCGAAGAAATAATGGAAAATGTGGAAAAAACGGGGAAAATTATTCATCCTTGAGGGCTTCCGTTGCGTTCGCTGCGAAAACGGTTCAAAATACCAAAAATATATGTATGAAAAACTATGCTATGATAACAGCAATTATTTACTATTCAATTCGTCATTATAATCTGTGTCATGCTATAAATCGATACCCAAATAAACAGTTCCCTAGGGATCACGCGGGCGAAGCCGCAGGCGGAAAGCTAGTCAGTTATATACGGATAGACGATGACGTATTATAGGAAATAATAATTTTATTTTATTTCTCGTAAACTATTGTATTTAAATAATATACACTATATACTCATAAATTGAATGTGGAGCTAAAAATAAATATAAAACAGATACACACGAATAACTGCGAAATAGCAATCTCGGATTAACTTAAAATAGCTGTTAATATATGTTATGTTAATAAGCTATTTTCTACTCTCTTATTCACTTGAGTATTTCACTTTAGATATATCAGATTATTCGATCAGTAATCAGAAATTGACTTATCAACCGGTTAGTACTTAAAAAGCAATAAATCGAACGAAAAATTATAAAAGTAAATAAAGTTTGTTGGTATTATAACAGATATTGTAAGCGGAATGTTAAAAATAAAATAGAAAGTAATTTTACATTCTAAAATCCAAGGATTCTGCTATGTCAGAACATTCCTGCTTAATTTTAAAGACAAATGTCAATACGAAAATGATGAAATAGGAAATGCAATATATATTTTAAAAATATACCCTTGATATATAAAGAATGTGAGTGTTAGGAATAGTAAATAAAGAGTAATGAAAACTTCTTGGCAGTAAAACCTTTTAGGTTTTAGGTAGAGCTAGGAATTTGGACTGGCAATGAGAAGCTAGAGTTGGGTATGTCAGAGAGAGCATAAAAGTGGAATAAATGCACTTGAGAAAACGAGAACGCAAAGTTTGAAGTGACGCTCGCCGAACACACTCGTACCGAATTGATAAGAAAGAGAATTCTGAAAAGGTACTTAATCTATATCTATACACTGGTTTTGCCCGCGTGGTCCCTAAGGAAATGTTTAGCGGGATAAAAAGTATCATATTATCTAAGTCAGCTATCTTTATACCAAATTTCATCAAAATCCATTCAGTAGTTTCGGCATGATTGGCGGACAAACAACCAAACATCCAAACAAAGAAACTTTCACATTTATAATGTTAATAAGAAAGGATTATACTTATAAAGCGTGATGTCCCGACTTAATGACTGACAGAGCCTAAACCGCTGGTCGTAGACTTGTAATTTGGAAGGTGCAATCGTCTTATTACGTAGAAGCGTACTAAGAACGGATTTTTGGAAATTTCAATCCGAAGGGGGTTAAAAAGGGTGAAAATGTTTGTATGACACTTTTTTGTTTCTGGACCTATACCGATGAAAATTAATTATTGAGTAATTTATGACTCCGAGAAGGTAACAGATAATGTTTTATCCCGAAAACCAGCACTTAATGCGACGAAAATGGGAGTGGAAGTTTATATGGGGAATCAAAATATTACCATAGAAATTATTGGTTAATATTTGATTTGTCATTGTAATAAATCTATCTCAATGTCGTTTTATTATTAGACACGTCATACATACATTATTGCGTTCCTTACTTACTATATACTTTATCGTGGTATAGAGATGGGTCGTTGAGAGATTTGTTATCGACGAAACGAAGCCGTACATGGACCTTGATCGACTAGTCGACAACTAGTCGATCAAATAGTCGATAAACTATTTAATTTTAATTATAGTTCACGTTTGAAATTACGTTAAATGGTGTTCTTATGGTGGTGTTTACAGAACGATACATGGCACAGGACGATGGGGACAAACATTGGGAGGAAGATGACCGTTACTACTCGTCAAGCCACGACAGCGATGATAGTCCTATGTTGTTGCATAGGTAAGTTTTAAGTGATATGGCGCATGATGAATCTTCGCATATGCAAAACAGAGGCCTAATTTTAAAATCGATCTCAATTCCCTTTCAATTTGTCATTCGAAAGATATTCACAAACTTTACGCTATAACTATTGGACAGGTGATACCGATTGCGATTTTTTTAAAGATATCGAATTAACGATTTCGTTAATTGGAATTGACTAAGTAAACGTTATCCTTGATGTTGATGTTACTTTAAGTTTCTAAGTTTTTATTATGTCTCTTCATCATTCAAATGATCGTTTGTTCTGAAAGCTGTACGTTTGAAACCGCGGTTTCAGCGTACCGCTGCTCGAAATGCGTTTACAGAATAGCACGTTAGGCGTTTAATATATGACTGTAAAATAACGTGCAGTTATTTAAAGTAGTTAAATTCATTTAAAGTTAAATATATGTATGAGTATATATGTATATATATATGTATGTGTGTATTTCTGTTTTATAGTAATTATGTAGTACATTTACATAGATCAACCCACTACTCACTCGTTTCTTTAATTGGTATAATTTCTTTTAGTCAAGGGTAGCCTGGAAGAAATTGCTACTTTAGCAATAAGGCCGCCTTTTGTGTTTGGTTTTGATTGTAAATGTTTTTTATAACTGTATTTGTACGCAATAAAGTGTATTCATTCATTCATTCATTCATACTTATGAGTAAAGGCTATTATAAAGTTGATGATTATTTTAAGGACCACAATGCATGGAGTTAATAGCCTTCGCTTTGTTCTATAACGACTAATTATATGTATAACCTATGACCTACTTTAAAAGTCGTATTTATTATTGTGATAATACATATTATTTTGGTAATGACATGATTTATCTAAATGTCATTACTTATGATAAAGAGCTGGTAAGTTTCTTTCGCTTGTTCTTCTTGTCAGCTTAAAGACGTCTTGAAGAAATGGAAGGGGAAAATTTATTTTTTTGAGGATTCAAAAGTGTTTGTAATAAGCTTTCTTGAATAAAGATATTTTCATTTCATTTGATGTCACTACCTATATAGTTCAGAGTGGTAAACGACTGTCGTGTTTATGACAGCTAAATTGCAATAATCAAGATCATTTCATCCTTTGATAGTGACTGGGAAATGAAATCTAAGATTTCATCAGCCTATAAATGTGCCCATTTATCTTCACTAGCTTATTAATGTCCCCATTGCTAGGATACAGGCCATTCTTATGAATGGAATCGAATAGGGAGAATGGACACCAATCCACACTGGGCCAACCACCCGTGTTCAGTGCGGATTGGTGGGTGTTAACGACTGCAGGTGCAGCTTAACGTCAGGAGTTCAACTCAAGATTATATTATTTTTTTGTCACCAATCCGATGAGCGATATTTGCGAAAATAGTTAAAGCTTCGCAAACTAAGCGCTTCAACCACTGCACCGTTATCTCGAATTAAGGGAGATTATGGAAAATGTCAGAAGTTTTTTTTTTGTCAGATATCGTCGGTATGACCCCTATGCCACCTCTAATACGGAAGAGAAGGAGAAAAGATCTACCATCACTGTGTTGGCCAAATTCTTCCTGTTTTGCACAGCCATGATATTGTTCTGTGTTCTCATGTATATACCAGTATATAATAAGGCCAACGATCAGCTGCCCAAAGGTGAGTGATTTTTTGTATATTATAAACGTGGTCGAACCTTTTTGCTGACAACGCAAGGTCGTCCAGAGAGTTGCGGATGTACAAAGTAAAAAAAAATATCAAAGGTATTGGAATTTTTTAACTTTTAAATTGTTTGATATTCCATACATCATACGACCAAGCTGTAGGTTTTCCAATGATGATAAAAATAAAATAAATAACATTATTCAAATTTGTATATTTAAGTTTTTTAACTAGTAACTTTAGTTTATCGAATTTATAAGAGATGGCACTCGTATCTCTTGTACATTTTACTCTTGTATAAAATGTAATTGGTTTATAAGCATTAATAGCCTGAAAAGTACTTATATATGTTATGAATTGGTGAGATGGTCACATTATATTAAGATTTTATCGACAAAATCTCAGAAGTCATGTTGTGAAAAAATTAATTGAGATTTTCTATAAACAAAGCCAGAAACTAACATTCTATTTTATTTAAGTTAAATATTTTTTAATTATGTTTTTTCTTTCGCCCTGTACGGGTCAACGTACTTTGTTTGCCTCGAAAGCAATATACAACATCGCGACCTACTTTGGGCGCTTGCAAAAAATATTATGAATTTTAGTACAATAAAGTTACTCCGTAGTATTGGTTGACAGTATTATTTTATTGCATCCTTTTTGACACTTTTGACATTATCTTATCAATACTACCTGACATCTGACATCATTTACTGGACGAGAGTAACAACTCGTTCACGCCCTAAAAACGCCTTTTCTATTCTCTCTTTTCTAGATTCTTTGTAATATGTCTAATGTAGCATGCAATAAAGATTATATCATTGTTTTTCAAAAAGGTCGTTAAGTATATTCGGATAAATATTATATTAAGTTGGGAGAAAAAGTTTGAAAAATGCATTAATTTGTAGTAAAATCTATTTACCACTTATACTGGCTGGTTTCAGTATCATTAAAAAGTTTAAATGTTTTAAAAAGATAACTCCGAATTCAATTTAAGAAAATGTGTGATTTTCATTTGTTTTTCATTCTGTCAAATGAGTGAATCTTATAAAGAAATTCGATACATTATAAGATTTTATTACAAAAAGATTAAAATGCAACTCAAGCAAATTTGTGACGTTTATGGACCTAATGCAGTTTCACAAATTTGGTTAGTGTTTGCAGTCCGGAAATTTTGATATCAAAGATGCACGTCGCTCCGGTCGCCCTATTACGGATAAAATTAATGCCATTTTTAAAAAAGTGGAGCAAGGTCGGCATATCAGTAGTTACGACGTAACTAACGAACTGGAGATTGACCACAAAACAGTTTTGGCGCATTTAAAAAAGTTGGGTACATAGAAAAATTGGATATTTGAGTATCTCACGAGTTCACTGAAAGAAATCTAATGAATGTACTCATTTGTGATTCTTTATTACGGCGTAATGAAACCGAACCATTCCTGCAGAAGCTGATAACTGGTGATGAAAAGTGGATAACGTACAACAAGTACGTGCGAGAAAGGTCTTGGTCAGTTACGGTCTCTTCAGAATTCTTTAGGCAATATCAGGTTAACATCACGCGAAGACTGCCAAAACTACTTGTCGCGGGTTTTTGATCAGAAGCCACAAAATTTCTATAGCAATGGGATCATGTCTCTACCTACAAGATGGCAAAAAGTTATCGAATAAAATGGTACTTACATAATTTAGTTAAATGTAAATAAACTTTATTAAAAAAAGGTTTTGAATTTTCATATAAAATGCGAATAAACATTTTCCCCAACCTATTATTTAACTTTTTTGTTGAAAATTATTGTACACTATTTTAGAAAATATGGAAAATGAAACCTCCGAACAAAATGACAAGGAGAAAGATTCCGCACAGTCAGGTATTTTTTCGTTGCTGTTTGTCCGTCTCAAGCATTTTTTATTGTTTTCTTATATGTCCTGGCCATCATGTTAGCTGTGTTTAAAGTATTCATAATTAATTTATGTTGGGTTTCATGTCTTTTTTTTTTTAATCTTCATTGTATGCGTATGGGAAATATCGACAATCACAACATAACAAAATACTTGTGTTACTTCACTATCAATGCAAGTATGGCGGTGCTTCCGAAAAACTAAGACGCTGTCGTCGTCTTAAAATAAGGATTTATCGCTATTGTAATCTTCATATTAAGGGTACCAGTACCTCCTAACTCACATTTTTCCTAATTTGTGTTTTTACCTATGAGTTTAAAAATAACGTTTTTAAATTAAAACATTAAAAGATGTCATTTAGGAGGTATTAGCACTTCGCCATCGATATAAATATAAATATACCTATATATATCTGTGCATAAAGCACAATGCCGTTTAAAAGTTATGTTACAACCGTTAAGTAATATTATCGTTTGTAATAGTTTGTTTATGTACAGATTGTTCAATACTCAAGATCCTTAAGATACACTTTCAAACGTAAATGCCTACATAATTTATGTGTTATATACAGATTTAAGTTATAACAAAATTTTCAGGTTTGGTTGCCGGGTGGCCGATACACACAAGCCGTGATACAAAACTATATGTCCAACCAAATAATGTCACAACAATACACGAGCCTACAGAAATATGCACCAAAAATGTTAAACGGAAAACATTCCTCCTTATAGTTGTATGTTCTGCTACAACGAATTTTGAAAGCAGGATAGCTATTCGAGATACGTGGGGAAACTATAAGAGTTATTTAGAAATATCGAAAATATACAATGAAGTTAGAGATAGATATAAAAATTATAATTTTACTTATGATCTTTATTCAGAATCGGATCAAAATAAAAGTATAAATGTAAGTGAGAAGAGGGTTTCGAGAGACATATCCAGTTTTGGCCAACTATTACCCGAATTAGCTAAAGCGTTAACAAGTAATATAGGGGAAGCAAAGACTGAAGATGTACCTGAAGAGAAGAGATTTGATGATGATGATGATGATGTTAATATGTTGCCAGAATTCGATATGAACGAGCAGTTAGGTGAACAGACTGAAATGAACAATTATGATTACAATTATAAATCTAATATTATGAGAATACCACCTAGAGGTTATGAGGACAGTCCGAATTTAGAGAAAGTGTTGAAACAATTGAAAGCAAATGATATTTTTCAGGATAAAGTGACGAATGCAGATATTGATGTTGATAACACAGTGCCAGATTTCAAGCTTGTTTTTTTATTAGGGTTGCCATCGCAGAACGATAGTGATGTCCAAAATAAAATAGATGAGGAGGTGGAGAAATACGGGGATATTATACAAGAAGGTTTTATAGATTCTTATAATAATTTAACGTTGAAGTCTATTATGATGTTGAAATGGATTACAAATAAGTGCAATGATAGCGGTGAGTGAAGCTTTTTATGTTACAACTTCATATATTCTTTATTGGCGGCTTATCATTACTAATTTAGTTGCATAAATTATCACTGCTTATTTGATCATATTTCAAACACAAAATATAAGTAGGTTGGAAATTTACGCTTTTTTATATGAAGAGGTTTCTGAAAATGTGCTTAAATTCCTAGGAGAATAATGAACTAGAAAAGGTTAGGGAACGCTGTAAATGAATAGGTATTTGTGCAGGTTGATTTGTCTTTTTACTTTTATGTTCCTATCTTTAAATTAGCTGACAAAGGCTTCTAATACTCGTGTAGCCAAGGTGTGATAGGAAAATGAAAATACTTGTTTGTAGCTTAATTCAAGACTACACTACACAAGCGGTTCAACTTTGGTATTTTGATAAAAACCAACTGCGAACTTCAATTAAATAAAATCTTTATTACGTTTGGAAAAGGAGTTCAAATTCCACTAAACATATTATACCCGAATATTTTGGAAATCTAAATCGCCATGCGTGCTTATCGTAAATAACGTTATCATCACCTTTTTTTAAAAGAAATAACTAATTTAAACTTACATTGTTTTAATCAAAAAGGTTAAAGGTTATACAATCATCACTACATGTTAACATATAATTTAACCAAATGTTTTTTTATCAATGCTTAATCTGCAAAGCATAAATAATATGTACATAGTTTTTTCCTGCTGATTGAATTTTTTGTTAAATCCGTGAATAAAATAGAAATTTTTCTACAGCAAAAAAAAAAAAAAGAAACTCGTTAAGGCATTGCATTCAATTAAACTGTTTTCTTGCGATCTTAAGGAAGTTTTGGACAATGACAATTTAATTCAATTGGTTACCAATTGAGCATAATAAGGTCCTTTACAATTGTCTATTTAGTAATTGAGGAAATAATTAGATAGATGGTATTTTAAACCTTAGCAACACTACTGATGCTGGAATTCGAAAATTTCTATATCTGTAGATTTCTATACTTGTTCCCGTTTAATGGACGATTTTTTTAAATTTGCATATTTTAGTTTTCTCTATATTGCAAGAGAGTATGAGTTTAGAGAAATAAGTATCTCATTATAATATTAGAATAAATTAGGATTCCATTTAATGCTGTTACGATTCTAGCAGTTGGCGAAAACCTCAAGTTTATCGCGGTTAGACACACAGGCGCGCGGAAGGGGACTTTATTAATAATATTTAAGCATTTCTATTATTTTTAACTTTGATTAACAAATAATAGGTATTGTTGTGGTCACTGTGGTTTTTACTAAAGCATTTAGTAGAAATCATTTTTCAATTTGACATCCTGTGTATATAAAAAGCAGCCCCTGCTGAGTTTCTTGCCGGTTCTCACTACAAGGTCTGAGCTGTAGATTTGTGAACCGATGCCGATGGCATAGCTTTGGCAACAGCCTAGTATGAAATATAACTTATTATATCTCATGATTAGTTTTTTTAAACCTTATTTGCAGTTGCAAAGGAATTTTGTGAAAAATAGTCTCTATTATATATGTAATAGAAAATTCTTTGTTTCAGTTCGTTATATATTGAAAACGGATGATGATATGTATATTAATGTTCCAAACTTAATTTTGATTCTTAATAATAGATCTAAGGAGTATGAGGATAAAGTTTCCAAAGGTTACAAAGATAAAGAATACATGTTAATTGGTGACCTTATATCTGGTGCCAGGCCTGTTTTAGACTCTAATAATAAGTGGTAAGTGTTATTTCGTTTCTTAGGCAATTTATACTCCTGATTTGAGTTCATGTCCTGGGATTACGTAATAGGTGTTTTTCATAAACTGGTGTCTAATTATGAAATCGGTCTCAATTCCTTTCACTTTTACATGTGATAGCGATTGCCATCGCCACGATTTTTTGTATAATATTGTTAATTTGACGTTAATTGGAATTGTCTAAGGTAAGCCTTAGAAGTAAAAAACTTTTTTTATTGTATTTTTATTTCAATACAACATTTAACTCATTAAGGTGCATTAAATTGTCTCTGTCGTAGATATCATCTTTTATAATAACATTGTCTGTTTAAGACCTACACAATTTTGTTGCAGAAGGTACAGTCCATTTACAGGGGTAGGGTGAATCCTAGGCGTTTGACGGGTATTGGATAGTTTTCAAAACAATATTTATTTATATATCAATTTTTTATTTCTAAGGTACAGTCCCCGGTATATGTACGGGGGTAGAGTGTACCCTACGTACCTGTCGGGTACAGGGTACGCGTTTTCCGCACCCACCGCGCAAGCTCTCTACGCCTCCGCGCTGAAGACCAATTATTTCCATTTAGAAGATATTTATATTACTGGTAATTTAGTTTGTTATTCTTTAGCTTGTGTGTTCTAGCCTCAATTTTTATAATTAATTTCATATATAAGTAGGCACGATGCTAGTTGAAAAAAATTTGTTTTCTTTTTTACAATTAGTTTAAAGATTCTAAATTCGAGTACTTTGAAGCAAGCAAAGTGTTGCGGTTTTTTATAGATTTCTAAGTAAACCGCTATATTTTGTATCTTTTAAGAGTTTATATTGCATATGGCTCAAATTTGTTAAATTCATAAGTGTTTTCATTTTTTCTGAGCTGATACTAGGGATGTTAGAAAAACGTCGATGTTGATATCAATATGATCATCGTAACCCCAACATCGATGTTCGATATTTATGAAAATCTGAACATCGATGTTAGTCGATGATTTTAGCAATATATGAAAAAGAAAATACAGCGAAAGCTTTCGAAATTAATTAAGAAACAGAACAAATTGTTACATGTTCTAATATTTTTTATTAATTTTTAATCGATTTCTTTGTTTATAAAGAGTAGAGCCAGCTTTTGAAAACATGTATTTAAAATATGTATTTCATGACTTGTATATATTACATATATATCGTAATAAAAATTCAATTTTTTTTATCAAAAATTTTTATGTTATTGGTAATATCGATTTATTTCAATTGATATTAATATTATCGTATAACGCATTTGTCTTGCATGAGGCCGTGAGTTAACATCGTAGATCGACTCCGTTAACATCTATTTTACGCTATTTTTCGTACAGCAACATCGATTTTTTGCTTTCAACATCGATGATTATCGAACATCGATGTTCATCGATCATTCCTAGCTGACACTCGGCCAGTCTTTAGACATAAATGACGAGAGCAATCAGTGAACATCTTATAAAATTGTTTCAAATGGGCGGTCGTCCAATACTTATAATAAGATACTATACGAATCTTCCACGGCTGGATTGTACCGTAATAGCAGTTAAAGATTTACTAAATATATTTACTAAAATCGTCGACCCCCCCCGCTCCTAACGTGTGACGTAATTTATGGATGGCTCCTTATGACTTCAGGTTCAATTATAAATATAAGTGTGGTGTAAATCCATTACATCATACTACGATAACGCGTTGATTTGAAAAATAAATGTTTTTGGTTGTTTTTTTGTACGCTTTCAATCCTGAAATAAAAACACAATGCGAACCAAGATGGTCGTTCGAAGGTCCTACATACCCAATAGTAACCATTATTTTACAACCATAGGTATGTGTGCACTTCGCGCTACGCCGCGCATAATTCCGCGGGATGATCCCGGGTTCACGTATCAAGCGCCGCGCGGGCAACTAGCGTGTAGCGCTCACGAGCACGCGACCGTGCACCGTATCCAACCCGGACAAATGCGGTACTTACACAAGTACCTCGCCACGCCGGAACTGGTCGACAAGTAAGTTTTTAAGATTATTAGAATTGGTTACTTAAGGCACAGTACAAATATATAAGTAGGTGCACTCGAGACCCGAGCGAGAGATAATAGCCTAAACATGTAGGGCTGTCGCTTATAGGTTATTCAATTGTCAGAAATGCATGGTAAGGTAAACATCGGGGAACTATAATACAACTTTTTAAGGTTTTTTTTTAATATATTGACCAGGAGCTGACTACATTTTTTTTCATACCTGCGTCATGTCATCAATTGTTTTGTGAATTTAAAACGTGTTTTTAATGAATTATGTATTTATTCAATTTTTCAAAAATGGTTTAGTTTTCAAAGCCATCTTGTTTACGTTCAGAAATTTTATAAAGAGCGGTAATACAACGACGCGAAATATACGCGAGCACGGCATACTAGCCACGACTGGCGAGTTGCCACTCGTGCCTTGAACTCCTATAACTTCGATATTTTTGTAAGTGTGTGCGTGCGACGACACCCGTGCGTGGTTGTACGTGCGTGTATGTGCGTGCGTGTATGTGACCGTGTACAAACCATTTTCGGTGTGTATGTATGAAGAGTACTTACTCTTTATACTCTGCTTAAGGCGAGGTTGTACGAAATTACCACTATTTAGACCAATTTAATTCTGAGGCTATACTACTATTTGCCAACTACAATCATTTTATGAAAATTAAACATATGATCGATTGCTTGCTAAAACAAACATAAATTTCAATAATTGGCTCAATAGAAAATCGCTAAGATGACATCAACAGATTATAAATCGCAAGTTAATTTTACGAAAATAAAGTTTACTTACAATTTATTTTAAAATTAAAAATACTACATGGCCTTATATTTATCTGGTCTGTGTTAGTTTGACGCTTGCATGCGCCATCGCGGATTTACTGAGGTGTTACGTTCGATAGCCCACTGTTCACTAACACGCATTTCTTCTCGACGCACACGTGTGAGATCTAGAAACGACACTTTTTAGAATTTTCAGCTTTTACAATTAGGAACCAATATAATCCAGACACTACAGTTTCAATCTGTCCTCACGGTTCTTCTGCTTTCTTATTCATGTAATTTGTTATTTCAATCGCTTTCCTGACCATTCTTAGTATGTAGTGGCATTTAGTCGAGAAAATCTGGCTTATGGAGCTTGATCCAGTAAAAGTAACTTTTAAATAGTAAATAAATAAAAGCGAGTATTCTTTGTGAAACTTTTGCTAATAAACTATTTATTTCCGTGATGGAATGATACCACCTAGCAATAATTTTAAATACAAAAAAAAAAATATATTAAGAAAAAAATAAGAGTCTGTTGTGACCCTTACATAAAAAGGAATGCATATAATTAGGTATTGCTTTGCCAAAATTCTGTTGGGAGTATGCTCTCCTAATAGTTCTCTAACTTCCTAAAATTAATAGGCGACACCAATATTGCATTATATTCCCTTTAACGCCACTAAGCACCATCTAGTGTCATAATTAGAGCCTAAATGATTATGATTTGTGATAAGGTTTTCTTTATAAATTAGTTTATTTTTTACAGATGCGAGAGAATACGGCTGACGCAGGTAAGGCGGGATAGGATGCGACCGAAAATTACGCCGAAACTAAATAAGTTGTCAAAAGTAGCACTTTCCAAAGCTGTAACCAAATAGCCTTGCGACTTTGATCCTTAACTTTAGCGATGTAAAGACGCTTTCAAATCGGTGCTGGGTAGCGGTGGCGGTTGTAAGACTAGTTTTCTATTGTTAATTGTAAGGGAAAACGTATGATAGGTCATCGTGTCAAGATGTGATAATGACGTCATGTGTGCCATTAATGCCAAGTTGTATTAGTTATAATGTACATTCACTGTTGTGCCATCGTTAATGATTTACTGTTGTGTGTCAATAACTTGTTTGTTAAGTGACTGTATATCATTTTTGTAGAGGAATAGTATAACTTCGCTTAATTAAAAAAAAATGCCTTTGTTATTATATTGTGATTTCGTCGATTTTGCTTACCTGCATCTTGACATGATGATGAGAAATCTGTGATGATCGTTACCATTTCGTTTCACTAATTATCTTAGATAGTTACGTTTTAATAGCCTATAGAGTTTTATACGTGAACAATTTAATTATAATTGAATTATGGCGTCACGAAAAATGGTGTGTCAAAAATGTACTGTTGCCATTTAAAAAGTTAGGTTCTATTCTTTTAACAAACCGTCCTTTATTATAAATCATTCCAAAAGTATCATCATGACAAATATATGTACGAGTATATAGAATATGAAAGTTAAGTTTATATATTTCTGTTGTTAGAATGATTTTAGATTATTTATTACTTAAAAATAGAAAAGCTATAATCATCAAGGCTACATTTTGACTTGTCTGTCAAAATGTAGCCTTAATTGATCTGTCAGACAGACAGAACAATTTACAGTAAACTAATCACTATTGATCTTTGATTGGACCTACGGATCCTGATTGTTCTGCTGTCAGTTTATCTGCCAAAACATCAACAGTGTTATTAATAAAAAAGTTTAACGGAGTAAATTTACGCTGAGACTGCACTTAGTTTAGTCAACATTCATATGATACGCTGAGACTGCACTTAGTTTAGTCAACATTCATATGATTATATACAGAATTAGCAAAGGATAACGTAGTAAAAGGTTCTACGGGAGTAATATTTATCCCTAGAAGATAGTAGGTTTGCTTAATCTCTGTATAATATGATTTTGGACTAATACTAAAAATGCCATTTTAGCGTAAATTTACTGTGACGCTAAACCTTGTTTATTAATAGCACTGTAAGAGCTTCACTTTGGCATATAAATCAGGTCTTCAGTAATGCGTTAGAACCGCTGGACGGACCTATTATCACATTACAATTTATGGATTTGAAAGTCCGAATTACGTGTCTCATAGAGTATGCGTACTTTACAAAACTAAAGTCGGGCTTACATTTGCTTTTTTATTCTTTTTTAGCGTACTATATCAAACTGTAGTAAAAAGTACATTGTAGGTGCGTTTTTCGGTTTCTTTAATAATATTGTCGCTTTTCAAATTGGAAATGCAACTTGTCCTTGGAAGGAAAATATCATCGCATGCGGAGTGAAGAGGAATAGAGAACCTAGTTTTCTTTTGCGATAAATTGTTTTTTGAAATTTATTTAGGTTATTAGGCTTATAGTCAATAAAACTGTTCTATTATTCCTCTTCAAACTAATATACGTTACTAGTAAAGGTTAAGTTAAATATTATTTAAATGAACAAAACCTTTTTGAATATTTTTAATGCATGTGTTGAATAGAGAGTATGTTTTGAATACTACAATATGTTTGTTTGTTATTGTCCAATCTTAACAACTACAGTGATAGATATATGGAAATAATATATTTAATAGTATTTTATATTTGATTTGTAACAAATTTTATTAAATAACATAAGCCTCAATGCTTTCTAATCAACAACATTTGAAGACTACGGTAAATTTCAACTAATATGGCGCACATTAGAATTCAACCGAAAACCTAAAATCATAAACACCGAAAAAATTTTGCCACGTAAATATTGGTGGATCGCTTAATAGGGTGATACTGAATCATCCTGATTGGTCGATATTTGTCGTGACTCGTAACTGCCCCTTTGCATAGGTACTTCAGTGAGCCACATCAGTTGATAGTTTTAAAAATCGAACTATTTACATGTCGCTACGTACTTTCAA